GGCTCGAAATCTGCTGGTGTCACTTATTCTGATACCATTTTTTTTCAGCAAGGTATTCACTTTTTGCTAGCTTATTAGGTAAGCTTACAAGTGCAAAAATATGCTTTTTCTACACGATATGAGCATAAATTTGTGAACCATGAATTGAATAATATAATGCGCGCAAAAATAGAAGAAAACGGCGATATAGCAGAGAACCGGGCGCTATAAATGCAACGTTGTGCAACTGCGGCCGGCCAGCGTATCGGAGCTGAGTGCGCAGCGATCGTCCCAAGGGCTTTTGTTCGCTTCACGTGCGCCATTTATTGTTCTCTTTCCCAATCCACATGTTCACAAAAAGTGAAGAACAGTACATCACGTAGGCATATAACAATATAATAGTATAGCGCTGGTTTTACGACCTATAAAAAGCAGGCCCGTCGTACATTACGCTGCCCGAGCCTATGCAAAAGGTTACTACTTTTTATGACGACGTATTAACAACGCCTCGCGCCTTGACCTACACAGGCGAGCAGACACGGCGCCCCGGCCGTAGATGCGCCATCACGTCTTCATCCTCGACAGCAGCACTTCTCTCGTTCTCGTAGCTACAGGAAATATCGAGAATGCCCCCTCCGCCTTTTATTTTCTCTTCTTTTACTTCACATAAAACACTGCTTAACGCGTTCTGACGCTTACTGGCACTTTCCGTAGGGACTCGCGACGTTCGCTATAAAATAAGAATCGAGGAACTTGCTGAGTGAGCCGCATGAACCTTTAAATTACTTAAAGTTGAATTTCCTCAAACAGAAATTTCTGCGAGCGTTCGAAGGCCGCTGCCTAAGGTGGAAAATACGAAACCGTACTTCATGAATCATTGTTCCGAGAGGCCCCCCCTTTGAAGCAAGCGCACACCGCCCAGCAAAAAGCTTGCGGATCGAGACATTTTTCATGAAGCTATATCAACGTTTTTTTTTTCTGGGAACATAACCTTCAATAATTGTTTCTGCCTGATGTAGTTCTTGCGAACATTGAAGTTTTCCGCCCCATGAGAAGCGTCATGCACAAACACAGTCGAAATGCCCATTAGCAGTGCAGGCCGTTAAGAGTTCGAGGTCGGTGGCAGGTACAGCGGGTTTTCTGTAGGGTAGCCAGCTCCCCGCCGTCGTCCGCATAGCCGATTTTCGCCAGTAAGAGGACGCGTTAAGAGAGATAGAACGAAGGCTTATTTACATGATAGTTCAAAGATGGCGCTGTACAGAGATTCTGCTTTATGCACAACAGAGATTCATCTGCATGTACAAAGAAACCGCTATGTACAGAGGTCCAGTCAATGATTCAGCGATTATTTACAAAATGACTTCGGCTTTTATAGCCCGTCGTCCCCTTACATGGAGGTGTGAAGAAAGCGGCGACCAGATACTGCCGCGAATCAGGTGACGAAGCCTCAGTGGCCGACCCACCAGAAAGGGTGCAGATATTAGACCACTAGGCTGATGAGAAACACGGGTGAATATGTTCGATGCGTAGCACGAGCGCACCTCACAAAGACGCACCCGGCCCACGCCTTCAAGACATCGCAGGACGAGAAGGTAGAGTCTGGTGAAGGGGAAAGTTGAGCTCCTTTGCGGAGAACATGGCCACCGACACGAACGTCAGCAGCGGTCCATGGCTGCATTCCGCTACAGTGTTACGGAACTTTCTCGTACATGGCTGTCCAGGTGCTCGATTCCTGAGAACGACCCTCTGCGACGCCTTCCCACGCCTCCGGACTGTCGGTGCTTTTGTGGCAATTTCGCGTCGGTGACGACAGCCGAGGTTGACTCCATGAAAACTGCCACGGTGTCGCCATCCCACGCTGTTCGAACCCGTTCAACAAAAGGGTTGTCTCGCGAAGCTTTCGTTGAGACCCGACCACTACCAGAAACCACTACAGGACAGCGTCGAGCCGACTGGGCGTCGGTGGGGTTGAAACCCACCCAGCAGACCGGCTTACGCACAACGGCGTCTGCCCAGACGAACTGCCGGGCCAAACGTAACAAGCCCTCGTCGCTTAAACTTTTCCTAACGCGTCTAAATAAACGACCTTGTGGTTTCCTCACTATCTCTAGAAAAATGGTTCTGTATTAGGTGATGCTTGACGAAACGGCCATGTGGGTTCCAAGTTAACACTCACAAAAATACATTAACCATCCCATGCATTATACCGCCCGTCATTATCAAGTTTTTCAGTTGTAGTTTTTTTCATTTCTGCTGCAAAATGCCTACACTGCTAATAACTAATTTGTAGCCTACAATACATACTGTGCACTCAAAAAGAGTTTTTTACACATCTCTCTCCCTCTCCCTCTGCACGCGCAGTGTGTGTGAGGTGAGTGGGTGGGTGGGTGGGGTTGACGATTCAGTGGACGTCACTGCGACTCTGAGAGTAATAATGTGAAGACGCAGCAAAAAAAAAACTGTGAACACGTCACTACTAGTGAAGTTACATATCCAACAATTATTCACTACACTTAGAACGCCTAGCAAGTATGCACATCAAGCAAACTCACTACACACCACCAGTGGACTATAAATAAAATTAAATATACAAACCAATGAACACACAAAGTTATTAAAAAATCAAATAAATAAGATCAATAAATAATAAATTGACAACGAAGCAAATGAAGAACCTACGCGCTGAACTTCTGGCCTACGCGAGTCGAGGTGGAATCTTATTAAAGCAGTGTAGGCTAAACTTAAGTAATTATAAGTGAAGGAATAAATGATGAAATGAAATGAATAAGTGCATGTGCTACACCTGATTCCCTGGTCGTCAAGCACCGCAGAGTGCAGTGGTTCATGCATATTCTCCTATTCGGTATTTATGCAATACCTAAACTTCATTCTAATGCAAATGCTGACTTTTCACGGCACAACGGTGCTGTTATCACCAACCTCGTGTACGCATACAAGTCCTTGTAGCTATGGCTTTTTCTAAAGTTCATATAAGGTTACGCTTCCCAGCAATCAGCGCAGTACATAGCGCAAATGTGAACAAAGATTTCATTATTATCCTTCAGTTTGGAACTGCGCGCTTAGGAACGAAACCCGAAACTTGTTTCTTAACCGTCTCCCACCCTCTGCTACAAGTACAGGAGCCGAGCGACATCATTTCCCAACCTAAACTGAAGGCGTCCAACACGCGCTTCTCGTTTAAACCTACATCCGGTGGTCGTGTGGGTGTCGTAATTTCTTCTGCAAGGCACTTCACGCGGTCCCTGCTAAGGGTTGGCCAAGACTCTTGTAGTAGCCTGCATACGGCTTCCTGCAGTTGTTGAACCCGACCAAGGAATTGTATCAATGAAGAGACATAAACAAAATGATAATAAACAGGGACGAGGAGTTGTAGATAACAAGCACGTACTACACAGCTATCATACCTTCCTAGAAGCGTGTTCTTACAACGCCGAGCAACGAACGATGGTCTGCGTTATGGGAGGTGTCGCAAAACCGCGACGTGTCAGACACAGCCAGCGAGCGCGGCGTGGTGCCAACAAAAACACTGCGACTCCGTCGCCGCGTTTTCCATTGCACACTATCTCTACTTTACTCGAGGTCACCGACGTGATGGAAACCATCACGGCGACGAGCAAGGCACATGCGATAGTTACGAGAACCACTTGTGCCACGTTACGCGTTGCTTTCTTTTAGGGGCGAAGCTCCTTACGCTTAAGGAGGACTTCGGTTTCAAACACTGTCGTGAAGTCCCCTGGCACATTCAAACTTCGCCATGATTTTTTTTTATTTAAGGTTTCCTGTTACATTGTGTGGTTTATATCGGACAAAATACGATACATAGGTGGAGTATGGCACGTCGGTGCCAGAAGGTACTGCATACGTAAGCAGAAGGCATGCCTGCTTCAGCGCGAAAAAAAAAAAAGAGGTTCACTATTGAAAATGTTTGCTATAAATTTCCGCATTTTACCCTGATAAGCTCACCCAGGGCTATTGAACCAGAGCCAAGATCCAATGCATGGCATTTAAGAAAAGCTGAGTTGTGATGTGTACATAGTTGACTGAAGCAATGTTCCTCAAATCTGCTTCAATCAGTTCAAAAGAAATTTCAGGGTACTCGCGGTAAACTTCGGGCAAGATTTGAAAAAGTTGCGTTACCTGAAGTGTGATCACAAAAATTTCTCAGGGTACAGTCGAAAGACATTATGTATCACTACTGCTGTGCAAGTCAGCAGGAGGAAGAAATCAATCAAGCCGGAATATTTTTTCATAGCGGAATTAAAATAGTAAAGGGGCGTAAAAAAACGTTTTGAAAATGGTCCGAAAAACACTGTTGATCAGTAGTCGAGACTGCCTGAGAACAAGCGAGGCAAACAATACATACAGCACGGCTTAAAATTTACAAGTTACTCTCAAAGTTAGCTGTAAATCACTCCCACTTACCTCTAAAATTGATATGCACTTTAGCGAAGGAATCCAGCGAGCCAGTAAAAAGTATATAAATCTTTTCTTTTCACAAGACGAGCCCTGAAGCAACTCTCGCTTACGCTTGCAAGCATCATAATAATTTCGTTCAGCTCGCCCATTAAATTTCTGCTGGAAGACTTCAGTTGACAAACTGAAGGACACGCTTTTATTTACAGCCACTCTAAAAAAAAAAAAAGTCGTGGCCGTTGAAACGTGGAATAATTCGTAAGTTTTCCATATTACATCGGTACCGAACGGCTTTTGCCCGAATTTCAGCGCGCGACATTCCAGTGCTCTCGAAACGCTGTATTTCGAACCTCCGATCACTTAAGAGCCGTAACCAGAGACGCTGCGCGCACTCCCGGGCTTCCACGGGGAGCTTGAAAAGCCGAAACATGTACACATTGCCTTAATAACGAAACAGTTTAAGACACCAGAGACACGCCGGAGGCGCCCATTCGAAATAAATGACCTTCCACGCTGGTTTGCGCACCGTGTATAACTTATAAACTGCATGCTCATAAAATCAGCACAACAATCGCTTAGGTGCTTACCTTGGCTTCATCTTTAGTTGTAAGCGAAGTCTCTAAAATCAGCAAGGTAGTGCAGCCGCCTCATCTGGAAAGCACAAAAACGAAATTAGATACGCGAAAAACGGAATGATGGATAGCTTTCATTAACTACATCAGCGCATCCTCTATTATTTACACATGTGTTCTACGAATTTGATTGAGTCGTACTATCGGAGTAAAATGATTATCAGCAGCAGAATTCGCGCTCTCCAGTCATTTACAGGCACGCGCGTCCAGTTTGGCAGCAGTGCGCATATTCTCACGCCTGTTCGTCACAATAACTGGACAGGCGCGCACTACACCACTACGAAAGCTTGCCGCTGTTCGCGTTTTATTTGAGGCCGATAATTCATGTATATAAACGTACGTTTTCGGATAAACATTGATGATTCGTATGTGGGGTTTACCGTCCCTAAACCACCGACTGATTATGAGAGACGCCGTAGTGGAGGGCTCCGGAAATTTCGACCACCTGCGGTTCTTTAACGTGTACACAAATTTGAGCACACAGGCATATAGCATTTACGCCTCCATCGGAAATGCAGCCGCCACAGCCGGGATTCGGCGACCTGCGGGTGTGCAGCCGAGTACCTTAGCCACTAGACCACCAGGGCGGGGCGTATAAACCAAACATTAATGCAAAAAGACTAACTAAATGTTTAGTCATTTACTTTTCAGCAGCCCCATCAATGATTACTGCCACATAAGGCTAAAGTCTCGCGTCATACTCACTCCGGCCTTTGCGACCTTAAAAAGTAATTCAAAAACATTATTGCAACCAATTTAGAACTCCTGAAATCCTTCACACGCTGTATCATCGTAGCCACGAAAGATGAACTGCCCCTCGGCCACCACGATTTTTTGCTTAATTTAAACTGACATTAAATTTTATTGCTGGACTTAAGCGATCTGCAGTATACTCGTACGCCTGCGCTTGTCTATGAGTAAATGAGTGAACTGCGAAAAATCACAGCTGTTTATTTCAATTGCGCGTAACTTGAGCTCCCGCTTGGATTTTCTTGGGTCAACTTCGTAGCAAGAAATGATCACTGTTACGGCACAAAATTAAAAAGACAGGACAGCGCTCTGTCCTGTCTCTTCCTTTCTTCCTGCCGTTGTTTGCGCTGTGTTTTTAATCAACAAAATTACTCCCACGCGCGTGCCTAAATATACACAAAGCGAGAAAGCCATATATCAGCGACACGCCTTCCACAGACGCCTTCACGGATGGATTAGCTACGTTTATCCTTACATTGCGGTTATGAATGAATAACAATATTACCTTAAAAACCACAACAGCCATCCACCAGATGTTATCGAAGTAATCGAGTGTCTAAACCACGGTCGCTCGTCATTTACTTTTCACTTTTTTATCGTTCATCAAGTCCAACGTCTCCTTTTTATTCCATTTTTATTTTCGCTCAATACTTACCAAAACCACGATGGCACGAAACAGTGACGGTAGTAATGAAGCGTGTTGGCGGGCATCATTTGAAGAAAAAATCGACTGACATCATATTTTTGCTTGCCTCATAAGGACGGAGACGTAGTAGGAAAGAAAATGTAGAAGAGCCAAAGACACACGCGGCATGGTTCAAGTAACCAAAATAATTATGTTAAAAAAGATAATAATTTACACGCCTGGTATGACGGCATGCGGAAAGGCGGATCTTGGTAAAAAGATTCTTCGTTCTAAATATGATGACGGCGATTTTAGAATGACGAAGAAAAATAAATAAAGAATGAAAACAGGAAAAATAAGGGTGGCATATAAACCACCTAATGAGCTCCTACATGTCTGTAAAAACAGCAATAAAGGGGGCCATTGAGACAGCAGCCCCGAGAAGCGGCGACAAAAATTTGAATGGCGCCTGTGACTTAACAAACCTGCAAAATATGGGCGGTTAAAGTTGTAAAGAAATGGTGGCAGAGGCGTATAGAAAGATAAAAGCTGGACAGCTCCATAGCTTTTTACAGCGAAAGCTCTTAAGCGATCAGAACACGGGTCACGTTCAGTGCCACAATCATGCAGCATCGCAAGAAATAAAAGAAAACTGTAAATAAAACAAAAAAACACCTAGGGCACAACGGGACTCAGAACCGGGTCCGCTGCGTGCCAGCCTAGTGTTCTCTACTCGGCCACGCCGGTTCTTAGAACTCATTTGCAAATTTGTCTGAGGCAGGCTGCATGTCGGGAATGTAATCGCGTTAGTAATACAAAGTGTTTTAGATGAGCAATAAAACAACCAGGAGTCACACAGTGCGAATTGCGTAACGAGTGAGTCGTCCAATGCCCCAAACCATTACAAAAGCTCGTTCTTCTTCTACTATTAACTGTGGCGCATACCCACATCAGGCATAACTTCTCATCGTCGTCATCCACTGCAAAAAAAAATTTCGCAAAATTCCTATCAAGTGTGTAGCGGATACCACGCTTCTCCAATGATTAACGAATCCATCCATCCATCCATCCATCCATCTATCTAGCCACTTACGTTTGGGTGCTCTCGTGGTCACCCCCTTAACTTGGCGTGAACCAAAATTAACATGGGAGGGTAAAATGGTTTGACAAATACGGCGCGCTGGTGAAGACATGAATAATGTCAAAATCCCGTCACGTACGTCGTCAAACACGGCCATGCAGTGGCACATACCCACGGGCGTGTATGATCCGTTGGTATGTGGGTATGTGCCACAGGTGCTTGGCATTTAGTATCTATACCCAGGAACGATGAGAACACACATGGGAAATTTTAACGCGCGGGCGTTAAAAAATACCCGACATCGGTAACCAATGTCAGGGTCCCAGTTGGAATGGAACTCTAGCATTCTGCGTGGCAATGAAGCATTTTACCACAGAGCTACGCCAGGTCTCGCCACTATTTTCAAATAGACGCCAGTCTTCGTGATACATCACTGATGGTTGCAGTGCTGCCTACACAATTTTATAAACACTAATATGTACTTCTTTGATACAGCCTTCACGTCGGGTGAACGTCAATTGTGGTTAGTTTCCATGAGCTAAAGATTTTTTTTTTTGTAGCAGTGGCCAAGGCCAGCATCTTGGCGAGCATCTGAGCTTCATATCAGCTTCTGGTGTTGCTAATACGCATGTTCCAGTTCACATTGTTGCGCAATTGCAAACAACTGGTTATATAAACATCTGCAACTCTTCAATATATCTTTGTGCGTGCAACATTTGTACATACAATTAGCCTCATATGATGACGTGTCGCTTGATAAAAAAAAAAACTGCAACACGGTGCCCTTCCCTTCACATGGTTCGCATAACGTCGATTCCCAGGTACGTTGGATCTGTCGAATTTTTTTTTATCACGAAAGTGTTTTATGCCGGGGTCCACCAAGATTTCAGTGACGTCTTTCCGCACTGAAATAACGTCGAGAAGATAGGCACGATCAGAAGAGAAAGAAAAAAAAGCTTCGTGAGTGGAATTCGAACCGATGACCCCTGGGTCCACGGCAACAGATGCAGGGCAAGTGAAGTCAAGCTATCCACAGCCCCACGGCGACATACGTCGTATGGAGGGATGGATGGATGAAAAACTTTTATTGGGGTACTGAAGGATTCCAACCCCGCTTTATAGGGGTAGGATCGCGGGCCGCTCCCACGTAGGGACGGGGAGGACTAGCCTCACCACCGCATGCCACGCTCAGGATGCGCTCGCGGGCGTTTCGCTAGCGTCACATATAAAAAAAAAATTTGGTATTACGTGACGTGAATGGACGATGAAGGTAAAGGACACGACCAAACATGATAATCTTGATATGCATGTCAAGTAAACCATGACTACATGCTACGCTCATAGCACGTTCACGGCCCTTAAGCTAGCTCCACATATCACATCACGTGATACAAAATTTCGTATCACGTGACGTGAATAGATGACGAAGGTAAATGACACATGCAAACATAATATTCATGACATGGAAGGCATGTGCGGCATAATATACGTCCGGTTCATAACGTTGTGCTGACTTTAAAGTGACATATCATCGATTCCCACAGTGTGGGATCTGCCAATATTTTGTGGTCGCACCTATTCACGCATTCTTACCTGATAAGCGTAACGCACCGAGGCAGTGTTCGGGCTGCGTCGCCAGACCAAGAACGCTGCATCTCCAAATGTCGGACATGCAACCTCGCGCAGCATTCCATGCGCGTTGCATCCTCATTCGGTGGAAAAAAAAAAAGAGAGAGAGACCGCTGCAGCGGGAGGCGCGAAAAAACGCGTCGACAGAGAAACAGCCATACGAGAGCCACGAACAACGTCGGCGAGAAACAGTCACAAATGAAGTTATCCACCAGCATGAGATTCTACCGATCTTCAATAGAGCAACAAATTGACGCTTCAAGTTCCCGGTGTAATTGCTTGTCCAATAGTTTTACTGCATTTTAAGGAAATAAGCTAGCCATAACAACTACAACTATGTGAGCAGAACACAAGGAGCAGACGACACGGCACGAATGAATACATGTGAAGGGGCTAAGCACCCTTCATATAAGCTGAGGGGCCTGTAGCCTCTACAGTGCTGAAGGGAATTTGTGACACTGAGTATAGCGAAAACCGGCTGCTCGCGCTGCACAACCGTTCACTGGCCACCCCGCATATATACGCACTGGGTAGCGCGTTTGGAGTTTAGGGCGTCTTTGCTTTCACTTGACTTGACGCTCTGCTTGACTCGAGTAGATGCGATCGGAGCAGCGGTACATTCCGCCCATAGTGGGGAACACCCAAACACCAGCGTGCCACCCCTCGTTGAAGGCAACGCTTCTCCTTCGTTCAATAAATAGCAACAATAAAGGCGAAATCATAATTAAGCATTCCCAAGCAATACCAAATTACGGCACATTCAAGCGATATCCCCATCACTCTGCGACTAATTTACACGAGTTCATCCGTGAAAAAAAAAACTGGCAGCTTTTTTTTCTTTTTTTCTTTTTTTAAAGCAGCTCACCTAAATTGACTGCTAGATTTACCATGATAACAGACAAGCTTCAGTTTCATGCTTTGACGGGTGCTGCTT